GGCGCGTGCGGCCGTGTGTGCAGCGCAGAGCTCCGCGTCGTCCGTCAGGTTGAACCGGGCGATGTCCCTCCCGCGGAGGACTGTGCCGTGCGCGCCCGTGGACCCGACAGCGACGACGTCCGCCCGGAAGGTCGCGCCGGGCTCGTACGCGAGCTGCGCCACCGCGGAAGCCACCGAGGACTCGTCCGACGCCCATCCCACACTCACGTGCGCGCGGAACTGATCGAAGACGTTTGGGCTACCGAACCGGCGGACGTCGGCAATCTTCTCGGAGCGCGCCGGCTCGGGCAACGCATAGACCCACTCCGGCACGCTCTGGTTGGGCGCGGCGAGGCGGTGCGTCGCGTTGACCACGGCGTCCGAGGCGACGCGCGCGCAGGGTGCGCTGACGTTGAGCATCGCGAATTTTCCCGCGGCGTAGGCTCGGCCGAGCGTGACGCGGCAGCGCTGAGTCGCCAGCTGCACGACGGCGGAGCGGAGGGCGCTGACCAGCGCGTCGCTGCGACACTGCCACTCGGTAAGGTATAGAGTGATGTGTGGAGTATGCTTGGTCCCAAAGTCGATCTCGTTGTTCAGCAGCCGCAGCTTCTGATTGACCGCGAGCGCCGCGGCCTTGGCGGCGCCGAGCAGAGGCAGGTGCACGTCCGCTGTGAAGGGAGCGCAGAGGCCGAGCGATAGCGCCGCGAGGAGCGCCATATGCGCTTGCACAGACTAGCTTGCACAGCTGTGGCGCGCAGAACGAATTTGGAGAGGGGACGCGCCCGCAGGGAAGGTAGTGCTCCGACTCGAGCGCTGCCGTACGCCCCCCCCTCGGAGACCGGTGTTACCAGGTACCCCATGTATCGGAGTTATGGCACACTTAAGAGCTGTGAACGTGAAGAGAGTGGTACCAGAACTGCGGGTCGTTGCGGCACGCATGGGGGGCCTCCCGGACGTATGATCCTAGCCCAATACGTCCCACGGAGCACATTTCGATTTTTGACAGAATTAAATGCACTGCCCCCGCACGGTACTAATAGTCGTAGTTTTGGCACCGCTGCCCTTCACCGCACCACACCGCCGCTTGACAGCCCGGGATTAGCCTAGCAGCGAGTGGGCATCGCCTGCCGGTCGGCTGGGCACGAGCCAAGCACTTGGGCGGCCGTCAGGTGCTTGGCGGGTGCGGCTGGGAGCGGCTTTGGAATCAGGACCCCTCAGAATGGGGTCTACGAAGAGGGGGTGGCTTTGGTTGGTCACGATCGGGACGGATGACACGTCTGATGCAGACATGCGGTCACCTCGATTCCTGTTTGTTGAATGCTGATCCCCTCTTCAATGCCAGTGCAGGAGTGATAACCCATCGAGGTGGGAGCCGCCTGCGGCATACTGAATCCTCCACCAGTGGCGCAAGCCCGCTCGTCCCGACGCTCGAGCGACCGACCGGGTGTTCGGCAGGCGGTCCGAACACGGTCGGAAAAAAAGGTCTGACGAGAACATGATCCGACCGCGTTCGACCACGTGTTCGAGTCCTACTCCGACCCTGTTCCGACCGTGATCCGACTGTTTTCCCCCGTAACTTTCTTTCGAGTGCTGTCGGTCCGTGATCTTTTTTCTTGCGCTGCGACACAATGCTCGCAAAGGTGGTCGGCGGCGGTTTTTGGCCTCGCGCCGCGCGTTTGCCCACGCGTGCGCTCGCCGGCGCGCCCGGCGCGCTGCCGCACGCGTCGCGGCTACCGGTGCCCTCGCTGCTCCCGGCGGCCGCCGGCGCCCTCTTGCGGCAGCCCGCGCGCGGGCTTCTCTGCCTCAACACCCGGCTTGGGCGGGGGCGGGCGCACCGGTGGGCGATGCTGCGGAACCTCGTCAAGTCCCTCATCGAGCACGAGCGGATCAAGACGACGCACGCGCGCGCGCGCGAGCTGCGGCGAGTCGCCGATCGCGTGATCAACTTTGGCAAGCAGGGCACGGCGCACGCGCGGGTGCAGGCGGGCAAGTATGTCTCCACCCGGCCGGAGCTGGTCAAGCTCTTCACGATCCTCGCGGAGCGATACAAGGACCGGCCCGGCGGCTACACGCGCGTGCTCAAGACGTACCCCCGCATCGGCGACTCCTCGCCGATGTCCTTTGTGGAGCTCGTGGACAGGCCCCTGCACACGCTGCGGACTCCTCCCACGCTGGCCGAGCAGCCGCAGTCGGCGTACCCCGGCCGAGGCGGGCGCAAATGGCGCGCGCACAAGCGCGACATGCGCAGCGAGTGGCACAAGCAGGGGACACCGCGCAACACAGTCGACGCGCGTCGATATGGCTACGAGCCCGGCGCCGACCCGTCTTGACGCAATTAGTCTGATAGATCATAACCATGTCGGCCTTGCAAGCCAGGACGTGTGCTATTGCTCCCACCCCCGCTTCTGTCTTTTCCTCTTGTGCATTCGCTCATTCGCTTGCGAAAATATTGAGATCAGGCCGCTCGATCAGGCCGCGCCGCTCCATGTGTCAGAACCCCGAGGTCAACCCCGCCCCCCCTATGCGCGCCCCGCGCAGGCGCACAGTCCAGTGAGCCGGAACGCGCTCGAGAGAAATCAGAAAAAAGCGAGACCGCAGGTACTCGCCCCCCGTGCAGCCCCCCGGAGACAAGACAGGGCACGAAAGACGAGCGCCTCACCTCCTCCGCCCCGCCTAGCTCCGACTGCCTCCAGAGAGAGAGCGCACACACGCAGAAAGCCGAGCCCTTGGAGTTGGACCGAGAGGCGACGGGGGCCTGCGTGTGGCGTGCGCGACCGCAGGGGGCACTCACTCTCGCTCCGCTCTCTCTCTGGTGGACTGGTGCAATCGCATGGGAGACCAGACGCGTACAGACCACGGTACCTACGTATTATTGCTCCTCCACCTTCCTCTCCACTTACCGTGGATCATGCACCCGCAATATACACACATGCACGTACGCAGCAGCGCCTCCAGCACCTAGTCTGTCTGTCCGCTCGAGATGGCGCACACGATCACGTACGCAACAACGCCTCCAGTGCCGTCCGGATGGCAGCGACCCACTCCGTCCGCTGGTCCTCGCCCTCGGCCTCGAGATCGAGCCGCCTATGAGCAATGTGGGCTTAGCGCGCCAGGGGAGCGCCCTCGGTATCGCTCGGGCGAGCGAGCACCGCTGCAGCAGCCCCAGCGAGGTGAGGCCATGCTGCGTGCCCCTCGGGAGCAGCCTGATACCAAAGCGGTTTGAGCCGCTCCTTGGCGGGCAAGCCTCGACCGAGGCGACGCCAGCTAGTGGCAGCCGGCCGGCGGGCGAGTCGCCCGCACCAAAGGCAGCGGCGCTTCCCCACCAGCGCATCTCGTGCGGCGTCAGCTCAAAGTAGCGCCGTCGCCACGACTGGTCGACCTCGCCCAGCTTGTGGAGCCAGCCGCTCAGCGGGCCGGTGCGGGCACCACTGCCAGACCTGGCCTTGGAGCTCGAACGCGAGGCAGGCGGCTCGGCTGGCGGGGCGGCCGGCAGGTCGGTGGCGGCCTCCACGGCGAGCACCTTGCGCGCTCGCAAGAGCAAGCTCGGGCTCGTCCTCGCGACTGAGCTGTCCACACGAGCGCGCAGGCTGCGCGGTTGTTCTTGAGCACGGCCGAGATGGTGCCGGTCGGAGAGATGTCGTGAGCAATCAGCCTAGCATGGAAAGGTGGAGCGCTCAGTGCGCGACGCGAGCCGAGAAGCGGCAGGGGCGCGGCGCGCTTCTTCTCGACGTGAGCAACGAAGGTGGGAATCGCGCTCACAAGCTCAGCCTGCAGTTGAGCATAGCCCGACGCGAGCGCCTTGATGAGCCGGTACGCGGCGCGCAGCACGGCACGCGGCTGGAGCTCGTCAGGCTTCTCCTCGTCGGCGATGGGCAGCTGCAGCAGCTGGAGCGCGAGATTGTGCGCGCCGAGATTACGAAGTAGAACCTGAAGATCGAGGTTGTAGCCAGACGACCGGCAGAGCAGCATCACCCAGACCTGCGCGAGGACGTGGGACCGGGGCCTCAACTGGCGTGCTTGGTCAAACGGCGAGTGAGCGCGGCTGCTGCGCTTGTTGGTGATGCGAGTCGCGAGGTGCAGTATATCGTTGCGGTCGCGGGTGCTAAATGGCGCCCCTCACCTCGCCAGATCCGCCTGGCTCGAGCTCCGGTGCCACGACTCCCGTGCAGGTCAGCGGCCGATTGAGGGTCAGCGTGGGCCCCGTCGAGCCGGCGCTGGCGCCGGAGGTCGAAGCGCCCCCAGCCTCATGCACGCGGTACATGCTCCCCTCGAGCTGCAGCTGATCGCCAGCCTGCAGCGGCCGCGTGTGCTGCAGGTCGGTCAGTGTGATCGTCGATGAGCCGAACGCGCCACGAGCCTTGCCGACCAGTATGAGGTAGATGCCCTCGGTGTGATCCGAGGAGGTGCGCGTGGCGCGGGTGTTTGCGGAGCGTCCGATGCCCGAGCGCGCGGTGCGCCCGGAGCGCGACCCGCCAGCGCCAGAGTACTGGGAGCGTTCGTCCTGGGAGGCGTCGTCCACCTCCTCTGCGCAGTAGGCGACGAGCTGGCCGAGCAGCGTCGCGGCCCGGTAGAGCTCGTCGTGGTAGAGCTGACGGCGCGACGCGAGGAGTGAGAGCTCGCGCAGCAGCTCCTCGAAGGTCCCATACAGCCGCACCATCTCCGGCTTGCAAAGGAGCTGCACTCGTCGCAGAGCGTCAGAGACGACGCGACGCTGGTCAAATTGGCGTACGAGCAGCGCCAGCGCCGCCGAGACGAGGCGCTTGTGCTTGTAGAAGGTGAGATCCAGCAAGATAGAGACAAAGTCGCCGCCGCCGTCGAACGAAAGCACGCTCCAGAGGCGGTCAAAGGCGGCGCGCCGCTCGCGCTCCAGGACTGTCTGCCGCCGTGTCGCAGCACGGCCTTTTTTGCGGTCTGGTGAGGCAGGCAGCGAGAGCGGCGCTGATCCCTCGAGCTGCTCCTCCAGCCGTTGATAGCCTGACCGACCAAGCTCCGTGATCTCATCCTCGCCCTTCGACCACCGGACGGAGGATGTCCTCAGCGAGGTAATCTGCTCGGGCTCGGCGGCCCAGTCACCCGCGTCCCACTCGATCCGGTATCGAGCCAGCAGCTGCGAGAGGCGCAGGTCCAGCCGCACCTCGCAGAGAGTCGTCAGCACCTCCAGCAGCGTGATCTTGCACTCCATGATGACGAGCGTATCGAGTGAGACGGTGCGGCGAGCCTCGTATCGCGCGCTGCGAGTGTCGTCAGCCGAGTCATCGACCACGTCCTGGCGTCCGTCGAGAAGTGAGAGCAGGTTGGGAAGAATCTGCGCCACCTCGGCAGAGCGGTAGAAGCCGGCGGCCAAGAGCTCTTTGAGCAGCAGGAGCAGCTGGAGCACCATTCGGTTCTCGGCAATCTGCCGCGCGTCTTGCCGGAAGAAGCGAGAGACAAACGAGAGCAAGATTTCCTGAGACGGGCCGGGGGAGGGGGGGTGCACTTCTGACACTTCGCGCGCGATTGCGGAGAGGGGAGAAGGGCACGGAGTGGGCGGGCGGGCGTGCATGCGCCTTGAGCCCTTCGAAACGGTTCCAGTTGATCGGCAGCACCGTGGTGAGCCGCGAGGATAGTGCGCCCGACGCAGCTGCTGTCGGCACGTTGTCCCAGATACGAACCGTCTTGGCGCGTGCCATCAGCGCGTGTGGCTCAACATCGACGTAGAGCGTGCGCACAACGGCGACGGCTTGGCAGCAGACGCCGAGATGCCGTCGCTGCAGCTCCTTGTCGGTGATGAGCGCGAGCACGAGCTGGTACCTACGGCGCGAGGCGTGTGCTGGTGGTAGGGCTGAATTGCTACTTGGCGAGGAGAATGGCATGCGCACGGCAGCCGCTCGCGGAGAAGTGGAGCGTTTCTCAGGTTGCGCCCTTCTGCAAGCGCAGCGAAGAGCTCAAGTGACTTCTCGAGGTAGGCGGCCGCTTCCTCGCCCTCGGCTGCGAGCCAAGCGCTGAGCTCCATCGGGCCGCAAGTCAGCCCTGGGAAGTAGTGCCCATTGCCGGAGACGAGCACCGGGCCGCCGCTGCTAGGTGGAGGTGAGAGGCTGGGCAAGAGCTCGGGAGCGCCCTGCAGCAACAGCCGCGCCACACGCCACTGGTTGCGTCGGATTGCAACACCGCGGCACTGGCACAGCACCGTCAGGAAGGAGAGGAATTTGGCCTCGCGGCCGGTGGAGCGCAGCAGCTCGACAAACTTGAGGACGTGCGAGTCCTCCACGCGCAGCAGCTGCGCCTCGTTGTCGAGGAAAACCTCGGTGAGAGCGCCCGCAGCGCGGATGCCCAGCCCAAGCATGCTCTGAAGCTGCGGCACAAAACGCAGCCCGTGATGCTTGTTGGCGGCATGGTCACGCAGGGCATGCCGCGCGAGGATCATGCACAGCTTACCAGCACGTCCGAGCGGCGAGCGGTTGGTCGCCGCAGAGCTGAGCTGCTCCGCCGAGAACGGCGGCCTCAGCAGCGCGCCAGCCGCTAGGAGAGCGAGGCCGAGCACGCCCAGCTCTCGTAGCAGAAGCTGCCGGTGCGCGTGCGGCAGTCCCTCGCGTGTGAGCGGGTTCGGGTTGTCGGAGCGCGTGGCAAAGACGATGAGGTTGGTCAGCGCGGCCAGCAGCGGCGCAAAGTCGACCTTCTCGCGCGGCGGAGGCGGCACGCGCTGCAACTCGCCGACAAAACTGACGAGGGGCATGCGCCACGCTATGACTCTTGCCACGTCGTCGCTATGGGTGGCATCGACGAGCTGGAGCGCAAAGACGTCCTCGTAGTTCGAGCCCAGCGTGGCCGTCAGAACCCCTTGCTCGCCACAACCACTGGCACCGGCGCCCGTCCCGCTGACAGCCATCTCGTCTCGCGCGAGCGCCTCCAGCGGCGATTCATCGCCTTTCGTCGATTGCCTCGCGCGCCGCTTGAGGTTTCCACTCGAGGCGGCACCGGGGCTGTCGAGCGGGGCCAAGGACTCGACGGAGGGGCTTTGCGGTGGAGCGGCTGCGCTGCGGCGTGGCGAGGCGATGCTCTCCTCTGCCTCGTCGTTGTCACCGGATCCAAAGACGGCATCGGCAATGCGGGCGACGGGCGGTACGTGGTGCAACCACCGCCCGGTGGCGCGGTGCCGCAGCCTGAAGAAGGCGTCCATTCGCACGGTCTGCTCGCGCTGCCTGTATTGAGGCACCAACTCCCACAGGGAGGCGTCCACTCCGTCGATGAGCGGCGGCTCTTCCAGCGCCTCCAGCACCACGGCGAGCGCCCGCCAGCCGTTGGCCACGGCACCATCATCGCCGGGGTGAGAGCTTGGTGCAAAAGGCTCCTCCGACACGGCGAGCGCGCGCCGCGACGGCGTGTGCACGAGCCGCACGGCGCCCGCCCAGGCGCAGGGGCTGCCGTCGCGCACGTCTTCTTTGTGCAGCTCCCACATGGTTGCGCATGAGGCGGCTACGTGCGCCTCCTCGGGGACGACGGTTGGCGACAGCCCGAGTAGCGCGGCCGACATCTCGCACCCCAGGTACCCCTCCGCCTCCTTGTGGCTCAGGCGGACGACCGAGCCGCCAAACAGAGGGAGCGCAACGCCGGCCACCGCCGGCACATGCTGGCGATACCGCTCGATCTTGAGCGACGTGGGGTCGCCCGCGGCGCAGAGCTCGCGCCGGCCATCGGGAAGCCTTCCCAGCCGCTCGACTCGCAGCCTGAGGCCCGTGGAGACGTGCTCCAGAAGGAGCGGGTCGCCGAGCTGCACGCGCTGCCCCTCTGTGTGGATGCGGAGCCGTGGCGTGATGCGAAGCCACGCGGCCTCACCCGGCTCCGCCTCGAGCGTCACGCGGCGCGCATCCTTGGAGACGTGTGCCGAGCGCCGCGTGACGGCCAGCAGCGCGCCGCTGTACGCATTGCGCAGCTGGATGACCTGCCCGTACCTCACCTCGCGGCCGGCAGTCCGCTCGAAGGCGGCGGCATTCGCCTCGCGCTCCCTCTCTCGGTCTTCGAAGAGGCGTCTGTGCGCAGGGTCGGCGGCCAGCTCGAGCGCCGACCGGCCGACCGACTCGACCAGCGCCCGGATCTGCTTGGCAGCAGCGTAGTTGTGCTGCTGGCGCACCTCAAAGACGCATTCGCTCGCAAAGCGCGCAGAGGGCGCGGCGCCCTCGCAAGCGCCCATCTGCTCACTCCCCGGGCCGGCGACGCCGAGCAGCGCGCCTTCGCCCTCGCCCTCGCTGAGGTAGATGCGGTCGCCGACGTGCAGCGTGGCCATCGGCCCGCGTTGCCAATTTTTTCGATCTGGCAGTCCACACTGGAACCATCGGCGGGCGGATGGGGACGTTGGCTCCGCTGATTTCTGTGTTTAGTGCCACGCGCCAGTCTTCTGATAAATGCAGTATGGAAGATACAAAGAGAGGGAGGAGCAACGAGCGCCCTGGCGTGAGCCGAAGACACTCCCTCCGTAGACACTGATCACACACGGGTGGGACAGGGTGGGTCACAACAACGAGGCACAAGAGCGTGCACGACAGAGCGACGGCGCAGCGTACCGCCGTCCAGCTAAAAAGCGGCGGCCGACGGTTGCTGCGCAAAGTGATCAGTTCTAAAATAGGTGCCGGGGCCCAACGGATAGCTGAATCCGGGGCACCCTCCGCTCGAATCCCTGGCCGGGGGTTCGAGGTGGCCCCCACCCTGGGGCCTCCCATCAAAGGGACTGCGGCAGAAGACGCCCAATCTTGCACAAGTGCAAGAACCATACGTCTTCTGATAAATGCAGTATGGAAGATACAAAGAGACGGAGGAGCAACGAGCGCCCTGGCGTGAGCCGAAGACACTCCCAACTGCGCTCCGTCACCGGTGTCGCGGTCTCCCCCACTGAGGACGATCTGCGGGGGGGAGTCGCGCCGCCGGCATGTATCTGTGCAACTGTGTTTTTGCCTTGTCCCGTTTGATGGAGCAAAGTCACGGGCCGCCCGCGCTTGAAGGCGGTCGCGCCAGGCGCGGGCGGCACTAGTTGCCGGCGATCCGCTTGGGCAGCGCCCACGCTTGCCTCTGGCTAGGTCTCCATAGGTCGCGCGGCCCGAATGCTCGAATTGAACGTCTCGCAAGCTGGCGTCGCTCGCGTAGCTGTGGCAGGGCGATCCTCCCTCCGAATGAGGGAGATCTCTAGCCTCCTAACGAGGTTGCCCTCCGGCTGGCTGTTGCCGACAGCAGTTAACACCTCCGCAAAAAGTTGCGTCGGTCGCGCCACAGGTAGAGACGTTGAGCTCGACAAAGTTTTGGTAGTTGTTTCGGGCCATCAGTCCGACAGGAGAGGGCCAGCGGTCGCCTCCTCGAGCTGCCCATGCCTTCGCCGGTTTGGAGTATCGTCGCCGCCACCACCATGTGCGCCCAGGAAAAGGAGGGCTCCCCACTGAGGACGGTCTGCGGGGGGAGCCGAGTCGCACGGAACGACCTCCTGATGGGATCGCCCCTCCTCGCTGAGGACAATCTGCGGGAGGAAGGGCCCCGCGCGCCACGGTGGTCCCGCCCACATACTCGGCGCGAGTCTCAACCTCCGCAGAGTAGTTCTGAAAAGAGTTGGTCCTCAGGCAGGCCGGGAAACTCGAGCGGGTAGTCTTCAGCATGCTGAGCACATGCCGAGCGAGCAGGGCGGGATGCCCATCGCTCGCTCGCGGAGTGATGTGACCAGCGGCGGCGGCGAGCGATGCAGCCCCCACGACGGCGCTCCCCATGGGATCGACGCGCGCTGCCGCCGTGAAGACGGGCCCCAAGCAGCGGGTCATGTCAGACAGGGCTGCGAACGGGACGTCGGCCGTAGGGTCGCAAAGAGCCCCGACTGCCGCGTACTGCAAGAAGTCGACGGCCTTTGCTTCTGCAGATGGCGCTGGTCCCAAGGGTACGATCGCCTCAGTGTACCCCAAATCGCCCCACTGCAGATAGAGCTCGGGCACCGGGATTTGGCGGGAGTGCAGAGCCTGGATGCACACCGTACGGAACGCATCCTCATCCACGTGCACCGTGCTGAAAACGCCGAGGTCAAGGCACCGAGGATGCGGCGCCAGGCCGCGGCCAATACGGCCAGCCGCAAGACGCTGAGCCTGTCAAAGTGGGTGGCCACAGCGGGCTCGGGCTCACTGAAGGGGAGCAGCGCACTGATGGCGACCCACTGCGGAATCTGGACCCACGACGGTTGCATCCCCGGAGGAGGAGGGGGCAGATTGAGGAAGGCCGGATTGCCCACCACAGACCACGGAATGAAGCGCAGGGTAGAGCCTACCACTGTTGAGTCGACGGGTATCACCAGTGGCTTTGCGGGATCGGGGTGCTGCTCGGCCGGAATGCTGAGCTCGGCGGCAGTGAGGTCTGGCATCGCAGCGCCGGTCGTCTCGTCGAGGGCTACCTCTCGACTCTACTCCCGTGTCACAACAACGAGGCACGAGAGCGTGCACGACAGAGCGACGGCGCAGCGTAGCTACCGCCGTCCAGCTAAAAAGCGGCGGCCGACGGTTGCTGCGCAAAGTGATCAGTTCTAAAATAGGTGCCGGGGCCCAACGGATAGCTGAATCCGGGGCACCCTCCGCTCGAATCCCTGGCCGGGGGTTCGAGGTGGCCCCCACCCTGGGGCCTCCCATCAAAGGGACTGCGGCAGAAGACGCCCAATCTTGCACAAGTGCAAGAACCATACGTCCCGTGCCTTGGCAAGCAAAGCTAGTGTAGTGTTGTGCGACGAGAAAACGTGCGCAAAAGAAAGAAAAACCCCGGCAAATTCTTTTGCGCGGCGGCGGCCTCGCACGCGCCCTCGAACCGCTTTTGGCTCCCGCTGGGCAAAGCGAGGCACCCATGTCTGCTCCGCCGCCGCCGCTGCCTCCGCTCGCGCCGCCCTCCTCCTCGGCCAGCGTCGCGCCGGCGCTCAAGGCGGCCAACTACCTCCTGCTGTTCGTCCTGATCCTGTGCCTGACTTCGGCGATCGACCTGGACGTGCTGCGCAGGGACTGGCGCCGGATCCCGCGAGGCGTGCTGTGCGCGATGCTCTGCCAGTTTGTCCTCCTCCCGCTGCTCGGCTTCTGCTCGGTGCTGGCCTTCCGTTCGAGGCTCGAGACGGTGGAGGGGACCATGCTGCTCGTCATCACCTCCTCGCCGGGGGGCTCGTACAGCAACTGGTGGTGCAGCCTCTTCAACGCCGACCTGCCGCTCTCCATCGCCTCGACCGCCGCCTCGACCCTGGCGGCCGCCGCCGTGCTGCCGCTCAACCTCGCAATCTACCTCTCCTTGACCTACGGTGGCTCGCTGCTGGGCGAGCTGCCGTGGGCGCAGCTCCTCACCTCGGTCGCCATAATCGTGAGCGGCGTCTGCGCCGGCCTGCTCGCCTCGCTCTGGATCTCGCGCAAGCGGTGCGAGCGCGCCCCAAAGCTGCGCGAGCGGCTCAGCCTGCTCGGCAACGCGTGCGGGCTCGCGCTCATCATCATCGGCATCAACTTCTCCTCGTCGAGCAGCGCGCCGCCCTGGAGCCGGCCCGGCGCCGTCTACGCCTCCCTCGCGCTGCCCGCCCTCCTCGCCGTGCCCCTCTCCGCCGCCGTCGCCTCCCTCCCCGCGGCGGGGCTGGTGCCGCCCGAGCGAGTCGCCGTCGTCGTCGAGTGCCTCTTCCAAAACATCGGCGCCGAGCCGCCCAGCCCTCCCCCCAACCGCCCCGCCCACCATTTGCCAACCCCCCCCACCACCCCCCCACCCCCCCCCCCCACCCCCCTCCGGCGGCTCTCGCCTCGGCCCAGCCCCCCGCCGGCTCTCGGCTTCACAGGCGTCGCATCCGCCCTCGCCATCTCCGCCTACCGCGAGCCAGAGGCGGGCCGCGCCGCAGCGATGCCGGCGCGCGGCCTCCCGCAACCCGCACCCCTGCCCGCCCCTCGGCCGCCCCCGACTGTTCCGCGCGGCGGCAGGTGATCTACGGCTTCATGCAGTCGATGATCGTCCTCCCCGTCCTGCTCGTCTCGTGGAAGGCGGGCTGGACGCACGCGCCCCCCTCGGCGCCCCTGCTCCGCGTCCTCCTCGAGTCGTGGCAGCCAACCTACCTCGACATGCAGCAGGAGCAGCAGCAGCAGCAGACCGACAGCAAGCCACAGACCGCCACCGAACTGTCGTCCACCGGCAGCGTCGGCGCCGTCTCGCCGGCGCAGGCAGCCGGGGCAGCTTGCGGTGCCAGCGGCCAAAGAGGCACCGACACCGACGAGGGCGGCGCCGGGAGCAGCCCGGCTTGCGAGCCGGATCTGCGGCCCGGCGGCTTGCGGTGAGGAGCTCAGAGAGATGGTGGGGGTGGACGCCTGCATATGTGAGTTGCGAGTCGATGCACGTGTGGAGAGAGAGGAAGGAGATGTACAGGAGAGCCCGTAGCCATGTGGGGACATGCACATTGCGCTTATTTGTACGTGCGCGCTGAGTACTCGAGGGATTCCTCTCTTTACTAGAATTGTTCGAGCTCTTGCGTTAGAGTGTGGAGTAGTTCGGGAGAGGGAGCACTTGGATCTCACACTTTTGGACTCGGTCGCCTAAAGTATACAAAATGCGCCTGCGCGCTGCGGGCGGGCGGACCACCCTCACAGTACACACAGATCTCACAGATCACTTGGAGTGCGGTCATTAACCTCACATCCAGCAGGTGTATTCTTTTTTTGCGTGGGCGGCACTCATGACGGGGTAGGTAGGGTAGGTCTGGGCCCTCCCGTCGGGTTTTTCCCTCTCTTCACGCCGGAATTTTCACAGCAGAAAAAGAAAATTTCCGGACAAATCACGATGTCAAACGTCCCCAAATGGGTGATCTGATGCTTGTAGGGCCTGAGAGTGGCCTGCCATGTCACAGGAAGGACTGTGGTTGCAGGAGAGTACCACCATCCATCACTTTAAGTTGGTATAGTACCCCACCTTCACCCATCCTGTGATTTCTTTTTTAGTTTCCCATAAGTAGGGTAGGTAGGTAGGTAGGTAGGTAGGGGCACCGCAGGGGCCGGCCAGGTTTTTGCAGAATTTCATCATGAGTGCCGCCCAAGCAAGAAGTACATAGGGCTCCAGGCCCCAAATGACGTGTGAGTGTTAGAGTTGTTTGGTATTGCTAAAAATCAAAAACGAGGGATAAAGTTAAAGAAAAGAAAGAAAGAAAACACAGAAGCCAAGGGAGGGATGGGAGGACGGCGGCACGCCGCCACCACACAGGGATTTTAAGGAGAGGGGTGTGATGCGCTAGCCGTCGCCCACCCTTGGTCGCCGCCTCTTCTTCTCGCAGTAAACGAGGGATAATAAATAAATAGAGCAGTCTTCCTCCAGGAGAGATGGGCGACAGCACGAACACAGAGGCACAGTGCGCACCCCGCCCCGCTCACAGATCTTGCATCACACAGGCGTGGACTGTGCGACTCCAAACGAGGGATGTGGGAGCACAACTCGCGCGATTTCTTCCGATCGCCCAAGCCCGCCTCGCTGCTTTTCAGGCAGCCATCTCTCCCAGCCGCTCGACGGCATGAGGCGCCTCCTCTGTGCGGCGGCATCGCTTCTCCTGCCCGCCCTGGTATTCCTCGGCTCCGCAATGTCGAGGCTGGGCGACGGCTCGCACGCAGCTGCAAGCGGCCGCTCGGCACACGAGCACGCGACTGTGCGCTTTGGTGGCAGCTTTGAGGGCTCTCCACGCAGCACCGAGCAGCTGGCGCCGCCTCGAGCTGCGCCCTCGGCCGCACCGCCGGTGCGCGCAGGAGCGCCGGCCGCCAGCGCCACCAACGCCAACTTTCTCAAGCCAGGCGGCGGCTCGAAGCTGCTGTTCAACGAGGCGGCGCGGCAGCAGCTGGCGCCGTATGCAGGTGCCGCCGGCACCACCGTCCACTTCACGTTCGGCTCCTCCGTCATGGTCGACTTTGTGCAGAACTGGCTCCACTTTGCGCGCCGAGCCGCGCTCAAGCCGCTGCTCGTGGGCGCCGCGGACGCGGCTCTCCTCAGCTTTTGCAACAACAAGTCGGTGCCGGCCGCCGCCATCTCCCCCGACCTGGACGTCTGGACATACGAGCGGAAGCCCGCGCAGGAGGGCGTGTACCAGATCAAGACGCAGTGGGCTTACTTTCGCCACCACGACTCGGACTTTCTCGAGATGGGCCTCGTCAAGGTTGCCTTCTTGTGGGAGCTGCTGGTCGCTGGCCTGAACGTGCTCATCTCCGACTTGGACGTCGTGTGGCTCAACGGGCACTGGGCGCGCTGGATGGCCTACGGCGGCGCCGAGCCTCCTCTTCCCGAGGCGTCGCTGCTGGCCGCCGCAGACATCCTCGTCTCGACCGACGAGCTCAACGCCGAGGCGGACCTGGCGGGCCGGCGGCCGAGCCACGGCTCCGACCTCAACACGGGCGTCGTCTTCCTTCGCTGCACGCAGGGCTCAAAGGCGATGGTGCAGGCGTGGCGGCAGGCGATGCTGGGCAGGAAGGGAGACAAGCACCTCAATGAGAATGTCAACGACCAGTCGCTCTTCCAAGGCGTCGTCCGTGGCGCGGAGCTGCGCGGCGGCGAGCTCGACGAGCTGCTGCGGCGCAGCGGTGCCGTGGACAGGCTTGGGCTCGCCGAGGCGACGTCGACGCGAAGAGTCTACCGCGCGCTGGGGGGGCCGCCGTGCTTGCCGCAGGAGCGCTGCGCGCCCTCCTCCTTCACCTTTGGCACGCTGCCGATGCGTCCCTTCAGCGGTGGCCACACCTGGTTCAACCAGAACGTGCAGGACATGGCCGGGCACGAGCAGCCTCGCAACGAGCCCATCACCGTCCACTTCACCTTCCAGTTCGGCGACACCGGCACCTACCCGCACGGCAAGCGGCAGCGAGCGCGCGAGGCCGCGCTCTGGGCCGTCGACCCGCCTGAGTACTTCACGGAGGGGGTCTTTGTCGCCCTCGACGGCCCAACCTACTCGGAGGCGGAGCAGGCGGCCGTCTACGCTCGCTTCCCGTCGTGGTCGCCGCAGAGGCACATGCACATGGACGCGCCGCAGAGGCAGGCCGTGCGCGACCTGCTCGGACTCGCCACCGCCGTCGGCGGCATCCCCGTGCTCCCCTCTCTGTGGTGCCACTGCGACCGGTATTGGGGCTTCTTGAAGAACTGCCGCTTCCCGATGGTGCCGAACATGAATTTGCCTTTCAACTGCCCCCAGGACGCGCTCTACGACCCGACTCGGTGGGCGGCCAAGGGAGTGCGCTGGTGCGCTCGAGCCCGCCCCGGGCCTCGCGGCAGAGGCACTCTCTCACACGAAAACACAACCCCGGGCCCGAAATCGCACAGAGACAGTCACGCAACACGGGGTCCCAGGGAAGGCGAGCAAAAGCACTCTCTCACCCACCACGCCGAGCGAACAGGCGCGAGCACACCTTCCTCGACAACCCCAACGTGCCTGCCCTCTTGCGAACGCAAACCGTCACCGTCACGGTCGCGGCGCCCGGCGAGGTGCCGGCGGCGGCCGCCCCCGACCAAATCTCGCTGGCGTACGGCACGCCGATGAGCGAGGTAATGGCGGCGGTGAGACAGGCGCGGCCCGGCGTTCGCGTCATTCGAATCGCCAACCACCACTTGCGCCGCCTCTGCCGCTGGCTTGGCTCGTCGCAGGCCAACGCGAACTTCAACAAGCTGGCGCGGTACATCTTGACGGAGAGCTCGAGATACTGTCCGCAGGAGGATATGGGCGGCTATGGCGGTGGCAGCTTCGATTGGCAAAATCCGTTCGTCGCGTATAACTGCACGTGGGGGTTTCACTATCCTTCGCCCTTCCCGGAAGGCAAGGCCGCATGTAGCGCGACGGGCGAGCAGCGTGAGCGCTCCTCCTCGGCCGGTGGTCTGCTCTCGTCGCTATTGCCGCCGGTGAACGCCGCCGGTGAGCCGCTGGCGGGTGCCGACGGCGTCAATGTCGCGGAGCGTCCCAACTCGACCACGTGCCCGCGCATCATGCTGTGCGACTACAACATCCTCCCAGACGGCTCGATGACGAAGCCCATCCGATGGTGCAACATTGAGGGGTACAACGGCATGAAGCAGGACCACCTGCCTGCCACGCGCGCGATGCTCGCCAAGATGCCAGATGGCCGCTGCCCTTACCCTCCCGGCGACATCCCCGGCATGCCAGGCTTCGACCGGAGAGGTCACTACATAGGTGCCTAATAGCAATCATGAAGTACATGTATGTCAAGAGAGGAGGAGAGGGTGTGTAGGTATTATAGGTTTGTTTAAAGTTACGCAAAATTCCGACACGACACAGGTTTGGCAAGATCCAAGAAAAGGTTGCAGCCTGAGAATACACAAACATTTTGTTCTCCCGCGCTCGATCGATCGCTCTTCGCTGCAAGAGCATCCGCGAAGCGCGCAGCTAGAGCCCGGGGGGTGGGCGTCGCGCGTCGCGTGGAGAAGTACGTACTTTTAGCTAAGGGGGGGAAGGGGAAGAGGGGGTATTCTCTAGGCCCCTAAACGCCCTACCCCGAAGTACACTACGACGCTCACATACGAACGAAGACGCATGAAGTCATTAGGGACGGTCGGGTCGGTCCGTGCGCAGCGCAGTTATGAGCTCGGCCGATTTCAGGTCGCTCTCGCAGTACAATGAGCCTCTGATCCGATCGCCATCGATCTATTCGTCGATCGGCTCTGGCATCTACCTCCCTCAGGGCACGCCCTTGCACGGCGGCGTCTTCGTTCTTGCAAACACCATCCTTGGCGCGGGAATGCTTGGGCTGCCTTTCGCGTTTGCTGCGTGTGGCTACCTCATGGGCACGCTCATGCTCACCGGCTTCGGAGCGTGTGCGACCGGGGCACTCGTGATGCTGTCCGAGGCGGCCGACCACGTCGGTCGGCCAGCCTCGTTCAACTCGGTCGCAGAGCTTGCCATCCCTGGCGCTGGCATCGCGTTTGATGCTGCAATCGCAATCAAATGCTTCGGCGTCGCCACGTCGTACCTCATTGTAGTGGGCGACTCGATACCAAAAGCCGCCGTTCATCTTGGTGCGAGCGGCATCCTCCTGGAGCGCCGTTTCTGGACGTTGGCCGCCCTGGCGGTCGCCGCGCCACTAGCCTACATGCCTAGGATCACGGTGAAGGCTACCTGAGAGGAGGTCCACCACGGACGAGATTGAGTGAGCCTGTGTGACCGTAGGCGCTACGTCACGTGTCGGCGGTGGCGCTGGCCTGCGTGGGTCTGATCACCGTGATGATCGTCGTCTTTGCCTTCTCCCCGAGTTCTGACTTTGACC